GAGGGCTCTCGGTTCCTTGGCAAGTGCTCTCACTCTGTATTACACTACAGGCCAGTAAGCTTTCGTGGAGGGTTCTTTGGGAATTCACTGAAAGAGCAGGTGCTGACGGTGATGCTTGGAGGCTGTGCCTTGTGAGAAAGATGTTAAAGCAAACAGAAAAGCAACAATGTAGAAAGCTGCCGTCTTTATACACCTGCACCTATGTTAGTTATGAGCATCTGCTCCTCTCACTACTCAGATCTTATCCTAAGATTATCTATAGCTCTGCAAACTCTTACTTAGATTGTAATAAGCAGCCCTCCTTTTTAACTGTTGAATGAAATTGATTAATCAATAATTCTTTCATGATTCTCATGGATATTAGTATTATTATTATTATTGAAATTATTTAAATAACTAAATATGATTCATTATGAGCAATTGCAGAGACAAGTGATAGTAAAAGTGACATTACTGGACTGATAGAAAGAATAATTCAGCATCTTTGGAACTACTTACAGATAGCTAGCACACCTATATCTTAATAGTAAATATGTATTTACAGCCAGTGCACAGTGAGTTTATTTTGGCACAAAGACTTCGAAATGTTGAATTATTCCTTCAAGGTGTGCTGCCTTTAGTTCCCACTTCCTTAACCTGTACTGCTGCTGATATTTTTTATGTTTTTCTGGAGGGGGGGAGTTAAAATCCCCACCTCTGACAGAGCAGGGTGCAAAACCACAAAATATATGGAACAGTCAGCACATTTACTATGAGATTCCTACACAACATATACTAGATGTATATTTTTATTATTAATCTCTACTTGATGAAAACCTCAGATGATGCAGTATAGACAGCTCCTGCTAACTGAGGCTAGCAATACCAGAGAGAGAGAAAGGGTTTTAGCCGGGAGCCTTTTCAGTGGTTTTCGGGTATCTGGGTTACACAGTATGTGAAAGAACGCCAAGACGTTCTCTTTTCCAGTGTTACTGTGTAAATCACTATCACGAATGGTACCAGAAAACTCATCTGTGAGATTGTACAGACTGAAGACGTAACTGAAATTGGGCAAGATTTCATTGTTACTTAGAAAAGGAAAATTGGGATGTGTTGTATTCGGAACATTTTACCGGAAGGAATCGGAGATAACCAAAATATCTATATTACAATGACAACAGGGTCACTTTGTGAAGTGGTTAGTAAACATTTGAGTGTCCAGCACAAGCCTGATCTCGAACAGAACGACAGGGGTTTTCTTTCTCTTTATCACTCTTGAAAAGTCGCCGCTTAGCAATAGCACTTTTCTTTGATAAGCACAACTTCTTGTAGCATTAATACAGTGAAAGGCAAACACAATATATTCGATAGATGTGATTTTAAGGCCTCTACATGACTAAATCTTAATGTAATGTAAGTGATGAATAAGTAACGTGTTGATGGCTGTCAGAAACTACTTGAAACGACTGCATTAAAGTTAGCTTCCCTGTAAAGCCCCTGTAATCATTTTCAGCTCTCGTCTGTTCTTTAAATGCAACGACTAATTTGTTGGATGTATTCTTGGAGGTTTTTAAGTGTCTGTGTTTAAAAAAGAGAAAGAAAAATCTCTATGATATATATGACCTGTATGCATTTGTGTTGTTTAACCTGCACCTATACTCTGATCGGGAATCCTCTACCATTGATATCTTAACTGTTGTTTTAAACTCCACGTGTTACGTATAAGTTGAATCTGATTCAGTGATGAAACACACGATTATTGTTTTTGTTTTGTTTTTTCTTACATTTGTAGTCAGTGGTATTTTATCAGTGGTGTAGTCGGGTCATGTCTGACTTCCTTGCTGCTTCCTGAGAGTTGTTAGTGACTGCCTACAATTTCTTTTCTTTCGTTTTTTTTTTCCCATCATAATTTTTTTTACACCACACTACTATAAGTGCTGTGTGGGTAACTTAATATGTTCTGTCTATTTGTTACACAACAAACCTCTTTTAATCAATTTTTATTAAATATTGTCTAGCTGTGATATGTATTTATGTATCTGTGTGGGGAAGAATCATCGGAATCAGCCACCCGTGCATAGCTTAGTGTTTTGGTATTGTTTAACCAATGCAATGGTTATATTTATCTCTGACACCATGTTTTATCGGCCATGTATGTAATGTGACATCATTAGGTAAATACAGTGAGTGTATAAGAGTTTATAAATGGTGCCCACGCACAAAAGCCTCACAACATGCAAAAAATACACAAAAAAAACCCCAAATGAGGCATCAACATGAGGGGGATACACTGTGCTAGTGGTTAATACCAGATGATCTCTGCGGACCTCTATTTAGATCGAAGAGTCGTTAGTCTTCTCCTTCTCTCCCTCTGTGTGATTTTTGGAAATGTGTATGACTGAATAGTAACATATTAAATATTGACATCAGCCAGCATCATTTATAAATAATGTATATAAATGTATACCCTTTATATTCTATATTCATATCTAGTTTGTATAATGTAAATAGCGATTAAAGTTTTAGTTCGATTAAAAATGTAAATGTAATCATTTTCAAAGTGCTTTTAAACCTTTTTGTCCTTCAATCCATGTCTATTTTCTGGTATCTCTATATATTTTAATATGTTGCTGGCAGTTGTTGTACTGTAAAACAATATTGCAATAAAGATAAAGGGTAACATGACTCTGAGCTTTCATCCTCTTTTACATGCATCAAAAAGTTTTCAGTTTTCTGTGTTTTCAGTTGATTATGAATAACCTACCTCCGTGCATTTAAATGCTTACCTTCTGTAATGCAAATTTCAGTTAGCTAAATTATGTTGTATACTAAATAAAATATCAACAGCTTTAAATGAACCACAACAGCTGCGTATGTCACAGTTTAGAATAGTTGGGGCCAAATGTAGACGTGTGAAATGCAGGAATTAACTAAAAAGCAAATGTTTCATAGCTCATGTAAACAGGTCAAAAATAGCAAAGTGCCAAAGAATGAAGAAAACAGTAATACGTAATCACATCCAAAGAAATAAACAGGTTATGCACAGGGAAACATTTACAGACAACTCCACAAGGACAAAGGGGACACAGCACTGCATAAGCTTATTGCTAATACTGGATTGAACCTACCTTTGCCTTCAGAACTGCCTCAGTTCTTCATGGAACAGATTTAACAAAGTGCTAGAAAGATTCCTCAGAGATTTTGTTCCATGTTGACACGACGGCATCACACAGTTGCTGCAGATTTGTTGGCTGCAAATCCATGATGCAAATCTCTGGATCCACCAGATCCCAAATGGTGCTCTATTGAAATGAGATGAGGTGACTATGAGGGCCATATGAGTCCATTGGATTCATTGTGATGTTTGAGATGATGCGAGTGCTTTGACATGACACGTTATCCGGCTGGAAACAGAGATCAGAAAGTGTAAAAAAGTAAGTGTAAAATAAGAAATAACAAAAGGGGACTGAAAGAGACACGAACACTAACAGCTGAGATCTAAGAGACAAGGAAGCACAAATGAACCAAGCCATAAACAAAAAAGTGAGACAGAAGAATGTAAAAACATAATAAAACACATACTCCTACTTCTAATATTAGACAAGCTATAAAACAGGACACAAGATCAGTAGAAACTATAAACAATAAAGACAGCATGAGACTCAATAATGTGTCAAAAATAAAGTTCACCATAAGAATAACAATAAAGTTTTTCACAAACTAAATATTACTAGAACTGCGGCTCACAAACTAGAGTTAAGAAGAGATCAAAACAGGAAATGAAATACTAAAAACTATATAAAACACTGCAAATAAACCAAGACTCAAATATGTCAACAAAGCAAGAAGATCTCAAAAAGAACCCAACACGTAAAAACAACAACCCTAGGGTCCATAACAGTGCTTTATAAAAAATGTTTCACAAATGCAAATAATCCCCCATTAAATAAATAAATAAAAATTAATTTACACGATATAGTTATGAATTCATTAATTACTTCATAATTAATTAATGTTACAATTTGCTAGTCATTATGACTTTTTTCAAGATTAAAAGAATGTCCACAATGTGTCGCTATAGATCTGCAATAAATTGTCTAAAGCGCGAGGACACGGTGTATGGACATTTCAGTATAAATTATTTAGCTCGCACGGGGCATAAACTGACTCTCAATTTTGATTTCATACGGTTTCTGGATCATTTGTTATGGTCAGAAGCTGCTGTTATTTTAAAAACAGCAAACAGCAACCGTTCCCCCGCTTATTTGCATAAACCACACTGGATCACCGGTATGCAAAATACGGTAACAAAACACCTCATTTATCCTACTTTTTAGATTCCGAATATTCTGTGTGCACTTTTGTACAGACTCGTGCTTCTCATTTGTTCCTCCACACTTTAGATCAGTAAACACAATATACGATTCGTTTAAGGTTATAACTGAGACAAATATTTTACAAAATATGAACATAATTTTAATTTTAAGGTTACTGACTCAACTGTGTTCAAGCCCAACATCAATAGTGTGTTTACTTAGTAATGAGTAACCTTATAAATATATGTATATTAATATTTTCCTAACCTTAACAACCTTAATGTGAAATTACTGTCATTTATTTGTTCTGCTCTCTGTAACTTACAATTTTGGGATATTAGCTCGAAATTTACCTCAAAATCAGGGCTGTGGTTGTCTGAGGCTTACCAACTGGATATGAGGCGAAAATAACTCGAATTTGATTTGGCAAAAATAAAACAACAAAAACAAAAAACAAGAAGAAAATGTTTGAGATAATGACCCCAAAATCATTTTATAATTAACACGAAGATACAGCTCGTGTCTTTTCTTTTTTACATAAAAATCGGCTGCCCACTCGGAGCAGTCCTAATTCAAAAAACTTTAAGACTGAACGGAGAAATTTCCGACAGTTCTTGAAGGTCACCGTTCTACAGCGTTTTACCTACATTTCCCATGAAGCACTGCGGCTTTACGTCTCTCCGCAGTTCGGGTGGGAGGTGACGGCGCTGTCTGCCTGTCGGTCGTAGGGGAACTTCACGGGTGTGGCGAACGTGGTAAATCTCTTCGCAGGGAAAGAATGCGGATCGGCAACTCGGATTAAAGCAATATATAAATATTTTTTTGTAGAAAAAATAGAAATATTCACAGACAAGTGTGGTATGCATCCGGTAGCGTAACTGGCAGCAGGAATCTGTGTGCTCGGTTTTCCACAGCTGGAATACTTTTTTTTTCTAACTTCGCGGTAATTTTTCGGGCGTTTAACCTGCTCTGATGAAATACCGTAGAGAGCAGCTAAAAGTCAACGAAAAAAGTTGCTAAGCCTTTTTTTTTCAGGCAGCGTTACCCACGTTAAAAATCTTCCAAATGCGGACAAACTAAATAACAAACGTGCGTATCTTTGGGAAATTCATACGTTAGTTAGAAAACCGAGTTCATTTGGGAAATAATTTGTCTTTTTTAATGATTTTGGTCCCTTCTAGCGGATGAACGGTCTCCGTTACGTTTTTCGCCACTCATCAAAAAAGGGAACTCGCCTCGCTTAACTTCAGCCCTTGTTTTTAAGAAAAGGGGGTCAGCCGTTAGTTGTTGTTTTTTTTTCCCAGGTGTTATTTTCCCACTAAGCAGCAGACCTGAAGCGTGCACTGGGAACCATGGGTTGTACTGTGAGTCAGGAAGATAAGTTGGCGGCCGAGAGATCTAAAATGATAGATAAAAACCTGAGAGAAGATGGAGAGAAGGCGGCAAGAGAAGTGAAACTGCTCCTGCTCGGTGAGTACAATGTCACAACACTGACACTAGGTTGCAAAAGTGGCACAATGATGGTCACGGGTGAAATGCGCAGTGTCAAAAGACATCTGACAGAAACGGGCAATTTGAGCGAGTTACATTTTAACCAGCGCTATTATTAGTCCCCGTTAAGTGTGGGCTCAGGGAAAACACCGGGGCTGTTTGGAATCCTGTGGGATTTACTCGTATGTTAAAGAGAAAACGTGGCACAATTGCACGCGTCCAAGATCTTCCATCTGCCGATGTTGCTGGGTTGTCCTCGTCTGCTTTGCCCTCAGTGTCAGAGCTGCTTTGACACAAACATGAGGGCTTCAGTGAAAAACGCATGGGATAGTTTGGAGTAGAAACGGCACGCTAAAGCAAAGGTCCCTGCACAGCAAGGAGTTTCATAACGATTACCGTGAGATCATTTGAGGGACAACCAGAATAGGCAGTCACCCCCCCCCAAAAAAAAAAAAAAAGTTTGGAGGGGGTTGCTCGGGATCTGTTTTTTCTTCTTAGGAGTTTGGCGTTTGGATGAAATTGACTGCTCCCAGGACTGCTAGAGCATAAACTAACTTACAACTCTTTCCGTTGGGAATATTAGCAGATTTCTGCTTATGATGGATTTTCTGGATACATTTGAATTGTCTCTAAATATTTAACTCATGGTTTGCTTACCACCTTTTACTCTAAAAGCATTTTTAGGTATCTACTTAAAAAAGTTTCCTAAAGCTTTATCAGATATGAAGTTCAGATACACAGGAACAAAGGCTAATGGGATTTCTCAATGGCTGCTGAATTAATCCATATAAATAAAAAGTTGAAACTCCAATTATTAAGTTAAGAATTGCTTTTTTTGTGTTTTTGTGTGTTTTTTTTTTTTTATAAATTAGAGCAGTTCTTGGTGGCACCTTGCTGAGCATATGACCGTCTTAAAACTGATATAGGTCTGAAACAAAAAAAAGAAACTTCAGAATATTTTCTCCCAGAACTGAAACATATGTTTAAAGAAAATCGACAGCCAAGCAGAAATTTTCAGGTAAACATGTCCCGCGTGGAGCCACTAAGAAATATATAAAAACCAAACAAACATCACTTCTTGGCAGTGTTACATCTTTTTCCCCCTACGGTATAAATTTGCACCACTCTCACATATAATCCGTTTAACTTAGTCATTTTAGCTGTCATGTACTTTGTTGGTTGATCACAGAATTACAAATTTAATTTGACACCCTCTTTCTGGACAGAGCAGAAAATTCTGCTTGGTTTGATGGGGAACACATGCTATCTTTTTCTCTCCTGGGTCTTTGAAGAGACGGCTGGTTGTTGAGATGTGCCCCTGGTTAGAAGGCTAATTGCATACCCTGCTCTGTGCTGGAGGTTTCATATCAGTAATTACTATCCGCTGCAGTGTGTGAGGGTTGAAAGGAATTACAGGAGAGGTCTGAAAATGAACTGAGGGTTGGTGAGTTTCTACGTAAAGAGCATGGGCGGCCAGTGTAGCAGTCTCATCACCTTTACTGCTGTCACATTCTGCCACGACATGGAGACTGCACTGCCTTCATTTCTTTGAAAAATGCACACTTTTTCAGTTTCAGGACAGTCAAGAGGGAGCTCTGCTTCACACGACTTTGATTAAAATACTTTGCACTCTCACAGATAACACAGATGCACATTATTTGTGGTAGGTATGGCATAGTTGGTCCTACATGAGAATCTTTTGAAATATTAAAATGACACAATATGAGGAAGAAAAAAACAGAAAAAAACCTTTCCTCTGACATGCTTCACCGCTCAGATCTCTGCTGCTCAGCAGCACAGCTCAGTCATAGGGCAAAACGTCAGCATTAATATCCATACCAACTCTATGAATGAATCGCATAACATTTAGTAATTAACCTACATACGGGGACAGGCCCAAATCTCATTGTAATTCCTATTTGGATCAATTAAAACGTCCCTTTTTTGTTTACATTAATTAAATTGGTGTAACAATGTTGCATCCTATAAACAGTTGACTGAAAAGTGGTACAAGCAAATAAACAGAAAACTCATATTACACCAAACAGACTGCCACTTAAACCGTGGGTCTTCCGCTCATTTGATATTTGAACGTGTCACAGCATGCTTTGGCTTTCACATGCATAAAAACCTGAAATGTGTTGTGGGGAATGTATTTCCGCCTAAAAAAGTCAAAGTTACATTCCAGCTATTTAAAGTGGTTTATAGTTGTACGTCAGCAGTTCATTCAAGACTAAACAAAGCTCATTTTGATAACAATTTCGCACCCTTAATAGTCACTACTTCCACTCTCCTTTTCTGCCTGTTGTGCAGGTAGACTTGAGTTGGTGACAGGTTCAGTTTAATGGATTAGTCTTTCATTGAGCATGTAATCCTTTGACTGAAAAAAATGATTTGTGACAGAGGTGTCTTATCACAAATCCAGGTAATCTTTTTTTTTTTTTTTTTTTAAAGCTGTCGGCTGTTTATACACATAAAGTCTGTGCCCTTGATGGCATGCGGGTAAGTTGTCGGTCTACTAAACGGAGCAAACTGTAGACCGTCTAAGATGAGTGGTGGGGGTTTGGGTTCAAAGACGCCTCGGTTTTAGTTGCAGGCAGGGGCGGATATGACCGATCTCCTGTTATGTCAACTTTGATCATTTCCTCCTTTCAACAAATGAAACAAATTAGTCAAAGAAAAAAATCCATTCAACCCATTGGTTTGCTTGGTTTGTAGTTAGCGGCCCAAAGTATGCCAAGAAAATATCTCCTACTCCATTACACCACCACCCCCATCCTGAACTCTACAAGGCAGAATGGAGCCATGCTTTCATGCTGTTAATGCCAAATTCTGACTCTACCATCTCAATTAGACTTTTTTTTAAAAAATCCTCTATTGTCCATTTTTGGTGAGCTCATGTGAGTTAAAAGTAAACTGTAGCATCAGTTTAGTTTAATTTGCTGTGTGTGGTCTTCTGCTGCTTTAGCCCATCCGCTTCAAGGTTCGATGCGGTGCGAGTTCAGAGGTGCTCGTCTGCATGCTTTAGTTGTAAGGAGGGTTTGTTTGAGTTATTGTGGCTGTCCTATCAGCTGGAAGCAGCGTGGTCATTTTTCTCTGACCTCTGGCATAAACAAGGATTTTTTTTTTTAATTGGATATTTTCTCTTTCTCAGACAATTCTTTGTAGACCCTAAACTTTTCCTGTGTTGGAAAATCCCAGCAGATCAGGAGTTTCTGATATGCTCAGATCAGCCTGCTTGGCACGAACAGCCATGCTATGTTCAAAGTCACTTAAATCACCTTTCTTTACCGTTTTGATGCTTTGTTTGAACCTCAGCAGATCATTTTGACAACGTTCGCATGCCTAAATGCACTGGCCATCATTATGAATGACAAATTCTTTAAGCTAGACACACACATGATATGAAACCAGTCATTTTCTGTTCCTCTTTTACAGCTACCCTTTTCAGCAACATGCACAGATTAATTAGCAGTCATCCTCATGCACATTGAAGTCTTTATCATGGAGTTGGACTTTAAGTAAGCATTCAAGCATTGTTTGGATTTTGTAGATTTGTTTGATTAGAAGTTATTGCAATATTTTTATGTGTTTTACTACCCTTGAGCCCCGACTTGTTGCACCCGTTACCCAGTACTTGTGAGTAACGGTTGCTCATTCATTTATTAGTTAATTAAAAAAATACATTTTTAATGTCATTACAATGAAAAGACAGAGGCAAACCTGCGAGGATGAAGATTTCTTCCCACTTAGATTGTCCCCGCTAGCACATATCTTCAGAGGCAGTTTCCAACTATAGGTTCCTGGAGGAAAACGGTTACTTTATCAAAGAATTTAAGAGAAATGAATGTAGCTCTCTCAAAGTGTGGCACTGCAAAGTATCGATCACAGAGTGAGGCTACAATTTGTGAAAACTGCAATCTAAGCAGATCCAGACTGGGAAACCTGAGCTATTGCAGTTGTGATAGTAGAGAGCAGGAGTGTACATCTGAACTGATTATGTGTTTTCCAGTTGGTGTTCAGTGTGTTTGACTGCTCTGCAAAAACACTGCTAACGTGCTTCTTATTATTGCACAACGTGTAATACTCAATTTGTTTCATTTGCTCTTCACCTTGCTCTCCTCTCACCACATTACAAATAAGCGAATTATAGAAACACACACACAAAAAGGCGAGGGGGCAATTTAGAAGTAACTCTCCAAATTTAACAGAATTTTCCAAAACCCTGCATTTATTTTTAATGGTGTGCACCCGATCCTGTGCTCAAATGAAGACTTAATTTTTATGAACACGTATTGCAAAGGTGAGTCTTCAACAGGATCACCTATTTACTGTACACGTGCCCGATGACTGCACAAGGTGACGCGTTCTGCAGTTGGTCAGTTCAATGTGGTCCGCACTGAGACAGAGTGCCTCCCTCTTATTAAAGTCGATGGCAAAGCTTTAGTGGATGTGTAGTGTAATCACAGTTGGCTCATTACAGAGACCCGGGTTTCTCTGGAGAAAACAAGTCAGACTGACTCGTTTTACAGGAATGAACGTCCGTTTACTGAACTTCAACTTCTTGGAGACATATTGGCAGAAATGTGCCTGTTCTGTGAAATGTATCAAGTGAGCTGCTGCCCTGTGTTTTTGGGTGACTTGACCTTGTTTACTCAACAGTCTGCACCACAGTGCTGTCCAATTAACTGTATGACGCACTGGATGGCAGATCTGTGAATTGGTATGTGAAAGGGTTGAATATCCTGCAATTACAGGGAGAGCTCTGAAGATAAAGCCTGTTCCTGCAGACTGCATGTCTCAGTACAGGTCCACTGGGACTTGGCTTCACTATCCTCTTTGCTCTGGAAATACTGATAGCTTGGAAAATCTTCTACCATCGTCTTCTGAGTGTCTATCCATAGCTCATATCTTTGCTTGATTGTTACACAGTTCCCACTGTTTCTTAAAATACTACATTAGCAAAGAGCTGAAAGCAG